AATTTATTTACAGTTTCTTCAGATTTTTTAATTTGATTTTTCAATTAATTTATCTACTTTAACTTTTAATAAGAAATATATTATTTGCAATGGAAACAATATGTAAATGATTGTTTCTATTATAGATTATTGTTCCAGAAAGTGATATAATATCCTACTTTCCTTTTAGGTAGACTGGAAGAAGATTAAATTATTATTTCTTTACTATATTATTGGCTATGCAAGCATTATAAAAACCGTGTAACCAAACTAATGGATTTTGTTTTTCTTTTTTAAATATTGGCAATAGTATTAAGTAAGTTTCTTTTATTCCAGTTTAGAGTCTTACTTGTCACATGATTTGATTTGGGTTTTATAATACTATAGTTAAATCTTTTTTTGGATTTTGTTCAAATAGATTATTTTCAAATTGGTTTTCTTGTTTATTCTTCTTACTTTAATCATTTTTATTGTTTTGATAGTTCTCTTCTTGTTAGTTTTGATAATTTCTTCTATCCTGTGATTGATATGATTGTTTCTTTCTTTGTAGTATTAATAATAGTTAAATATTATTATAATTATTATTATAATCCATAACTTGGACAAATATTGTATTTAGGTTTTAATTAGATATAGTAAAATGTTTTTCAGATGTAATAGAATTGTTTTTACTTGATTCAGGTAAGAGGCTAATATTAAAATAAGATTGGATAGTAGAAAAATATTTTGGTAATAAAAGTGTTTGTGATATTATTCAATTCAGATATACAATATATTACCTATATAATCTTTTCAATTGATAGATTCTTCAGAATAACTGTTCTGTTACAATTTTCAAATTAATTGCTTCTTTAAAACAACTAATTTTGTTATTATTATTAAAAATATAATTAGAATTATTTTGGTTAAATGTCCAAATAAAGGAATTGAAAATTATATAGAGTTATCGATTGTTTTAAAGATAATATCTTACAAATATTTCAAGAAATAGCAAAGATTTCTTAAGAATTCTTGTAATCAAAATGTATTTAATAAAATAAGAATATTTATTAAGATACAAAAATAAAATTTCAAGTAATTACAAAAGTAAATTATCTTAAAACCAATTAACCAATTTTATAGACAGCAGTTACTTATATAGTATTGTTTTCCATAGGCTGCCTAGACTGCTTGGATTGCTTGAACTGTTTAATTTATATATCATGATATTATAATTTCATAGATTAGATAGCTTTATAAATTCTTTGAATTTTATAAGCTGCTTAGGCCTTTCAGATTATCTAATATTTGCTATATAAACTATAAATAATTATATATACTATAAATAAATGAATAAATACTATTGCTAAAAATAGAATCAAAAATAATTTAATAAATAATAAGTAGAATAAAACTAAATTATTTATTTTATTATAATACAATTTCAATGGCCAATTCAATTCTAACATTTCAACCAAATAAGAAACAAACTGGTATTAATTTGTTAGGAATGATAATAACAATAATATCAAATAAAGATATATTAAATATTTATTAAATCAAGATTAATTTTTTGAAAATCTTTTATATTACTAAAAAAAATATTCTCATATACTTTAACTTAGCTGTTTATAGATAGGTATAAGCCATTCATGGATTACTTTTGGTATAGCACCATTTACTTAATATAATATAACATTAAAAGTTATATCTGTATATGTTAATATTAACTTAAATAAATATTTAATATAAAAACAATACTATCATTTAATAAATAAAGTCTCATATTTTATTAGGTACTAAGTAATATTAATTTACAAATTAGTTGTAGAGACATAACAGATATCCATGTACCAACTGATTTCTAGTTAATTTGTAAAGACACTTGATATCTATCTGAATATATCAATATATCAATAAAGATTATATGCCTTGCATATATTTTATATTTATTCACAATAAAAAAAAAATAAAAAAAAATAAAATTTTTTTTTAAAAAAAAACTTTTGTCAACTATTTATTGTCTACTATTCATGTAACTACCAAAAAAGGAATTTTTACAAAATGAAGTATTGTAAAAAAGAGTTTTTTTTTTTAATATATAAATTTTTTAAATAAATATTTATTAAATTATAATAAAAGATATTAGTTCAAAAACTTTTGTACTATATTCTATATTTGAAAAAAAATTAATTTAATCTATATATTAAAATTTTTTAATTACAAGAAATAAAATTATATTATATAATGTATTTTTAAAATAATCTTCAAATAAAATAATGTCAATCATTTACACTTGAAAAGAAAAATTCAATTCATTATTTAAATTATATTTTGGTTAAACATCAATAAAATGTCTACTTCTATAAAAAAGAATCAGACCTCACAAACGCTCCAAAATCTTTACACACATCGTACCGCTACTTCGGAACGTCCTTGTTTTGTCTGTGGTAAATTCACGTCGGCAGTTCTCACAACTGGCAATGGCTTGGATTGGTTCTATACCTGTGTTAGGTTAGTTTTCTCTAAAATGTTTATTCTAGAAAGTTTAATGTGGATTCTATTTGTCGGATATTAATAAAAGACGTTCTTATCAAATTACAAGTCATTTGAATGACCGTGGTTTCGCTTCACCGGTGCCGCTAATTGAACCAGAACCAGTTAAAATAACGGAGCCAACTTCAAAAGGAGAAAATGAGAAGGAAAATGAAAAAAAAAAAGAAGGGAAAGTAGAACAAAAATTTGAAGATAGCAAGGAGGAAAAATGCGAAGAGAAGGGAGGTAAAGAAGTAAAACCTCCGTCATTATCCACCAAGCCGAAGCAATACACTTTGCATCGAGATTTTTTTTATCTGCGCGAATCCAATTTGAAAAAGAAACGACAAGAAAAAGAAGCACAGGAGATGTTAAAGCAGCTGCCAAGTGTTCCGAAAAGTTCGTTAAAATAATGCCGGTAATTTACATATTAAATATTTGATGAGAGTTTATGTTTGGGTTCATTAATTAAATAATCGTCATCCTAATTAATTAGATAATTTATTATAGGCCCTGTATTCTTCGTATTTGTGTCTTCTTAACTCACTATCTGAACTCTCGCCGGAATGCCCTATGTGTAGAATTGACGTTGTTTTCGATAAAAATATTAAACGACAACGATATAATCGCAATATAAAATCATTACCTTCTTGGAAACATTCATCACAATACAAATCTCCATGACAACCTCTACATTTAATAGTTGCATCTTCATTACAAATGCCTGTAATAGATACAAGAATAATTACAATCAAGACTTTAGTGATAATCTGACATAACACTTACAACACCAAGTATCAGGATCATCTTCAAAATCCTCAAAATCAATCGCCTTCGGTGGTGAACCCAATCGGTTACTAGAAATTCCTGCATCGTCTGTTTCTGAATTGGCTTTTAACAATCTAAACCTTTCCTTTAACTCATTATAATCCGTCGATTTTCCGTTTAAATCATAATTTTCTTCGAGAAGAGCTTCCTCCCGGATCTGACGTATTAGATAAGTTTCCTCGCCTTCATTTTCGAAATTCGATAATGTATTTAGATCATCACCCATAACCTTAGTGACCAAGGAATCCAGGATTTGCTGCTGTTCGTTTGAAAACAAAGAATCATCATTTTCATCCAGTAAGTTTCCTTCGGACAACAAAAAATTTTCTATCTGAATAAAAAAATAAAATAAATAGGAGTATATAATGGTTCAATATAAATAATAAATAAATAAATAAATGGTAATTTGTTACTATACTGTTAGAGATACCTCTTCTTCGTCTAACTCTTTTTCCTTCGGTAATTCATAAGATCTCTTTTGTGCTCCTCCTTTATTTTCAACATTCAGTGATATTACAGGTCGACGATCAAAAACTTTAGAGAATCTCTCAGCTAGATCTTCCCTTTAAAAAAAGTGCATTCGTTATTTTATTGCTCTTCTTTTGGTAATGTTGGTTATGATGAAAGCAGAATGGTAAGCAAAAACTCACAGAGTATCTTGGTCATGATTTTCATCAGGTTTTTTTAATTCTGCAAGACGCCTTTCAAGGTTATAGTAGTCATCTTTTTTGTGAGGAGGCAGAGACATTTTGAAATGTCTCGTCGATTGTCATCACATGAATCCAACACGTGCAAAAAAAAAAGTTTGATTTATTAAACACCAGTTAGGTGTTTTTCCGAACTTTATTGGCAAAAATGGGTAAAATATCATTTTCTCAATTCTTAAGATGGAAGATTTCCGAAAGAAACTTTATGAAGATATTATTATCAAACAAATATCTCGTAATAATGACGTTGAAACTGCACACAAATGCATCGAAACCCTGTCCAGAGTTGTAAATAATATAATCGACAGCCCTAATGACGAGAGAAAAAGAAGGTTAAAAGAAAAATCCAAAACGTTTCAGTCAAACATATGTGGGGCCCAAGGTGGCGTGGAATTTCTTGTGAAAATTGGATTCAGGGCAAAAGTAATAGATTTTGAAAAATTCTACGTCCTAGAACATCCACTCACTGATAATCCCGATTCTCCTGAGATGGAAAAATTGAAAGTTGCTCAAGAAATACTTCAAGATTTCTTGAAAAAAGTTAAGGATCGTGCGGAACTGGCTTCCAAGATGCAGGCCAAAGAAAAAGCAGCGGAGGAATCACGGAGAAAAGCCGTATTGGAAAAAATTGATGAGGACAAAGAAAGGCGTGTAGCTGCCCGCGAAAGACTCCGTGCGAGAAGAAAAAGTCAAGAAGAACAAGAAACGACAATTAACGAAGAATCAAATTCAGTTGATGACACCGCTGACACACCGTCACAACCAGAACAATTTTATAGAGCCTATCATTCTTCCCATTACCGCCAACATAATCAAAAGCAAGACTAACTTTATATTTTGAGGTATTTACACTCTTAAAACTTGCCTTCATCGACAGTACCAGTATAGTATGATGTATTATTCATTTCTAACTTCATTTTCAGTTTAACAATTTCAGCAAAAAAGAAACCAATGATATTTGTCCGTTTTTCATTAATTGTCATCTGACATAATTTTCATGAATTCTTGTTCATTTACTGCAAGAGAAAACGAGTACGCGTAAAAGTTGGTATTGTAACAGTCAAGGAAATTTATATACAGTATGCAATATGAGTTTGTCTTTTTAAAATTCAAAAGGATACTCTCTCCATCTTCATCTAAATCAAATTCGTCAATCATTGCTTGAAGATCCTCTTCGTCTAAATTTTCTCCCAACTCCTCGGCTACTCGTTTTAAATTAAATAATGATATCTTTCCTGTGTTGTCGTCATCAAAAAGTTGGAATGCTCTGTGAATTTCTTCCTCGGGTGATCGGTTTAATATTCGCTCAGACACTAAATCAAAGTCTTGGTTGAATGATCGACAACATTACACAAACCCGTGCTACCGAGGTTTAAAAAAAACCATACTTACTGACTTTATTAAAATCTTCAAACACAATTTTTCCGTTATCATTCTTATCATATTGACGTATGATTCTGAGTACCTCAGTTTTTTTTTCGTCAAATCCTAGAGCGCGCATAGCCACCTTAAATAATAAACACATTACTGGCAAGTCATGTTTGAATCCTCGATAATAATAATAATAATAACCTTGAATTCATGAAAATCTAAAGCCCCATCTTTATCCGTATCGAATAAATCAAAGGCTTCTCTTATTTCATCTTTTTGTTCCTCACTAAGACGATGTAATGGTGATAATGGTGGTGCCGTTATTGTTAACGTCGATGTTGCTGGTAGGTTGACAATGTCTTTCGCGGCATTGATCGTAGATTGACTGCCAGTGACTTTTTTTTTTTTTGCATCTGTACTTGGACTCGTGATGTTATCGGTAGAGTTTCTTACCATTATTAGAACTTTAAACTAAAATAAAAGCATACGATATCGTTGTAAGCCTTCGTTTATTATGGTACAATTATCCTTAAACTTTGTGCGTATATACACGTATAACGAAAATTATTAACCCAGATTTTCCTATAGTACTCGTCATATGCAGTTTTTTTGTAATACAGACTGATATACTTCTTATTAATATTATATATTTTCTTTGAATGTTGATTTAACCTTGCTTTAATGATAAGTCAATATGTATTTATGTTTTACAATTTTTATAAAAATGTTTTATTTATTTTATTTTAAAATAAATGATTTATATCCAATTGCAGATACAGTATAATATCAAAAGTTTTGTTTTTTAAAAAAATATATATTGTTTAAAAAAATTTTTTTTGACTTATAAACAATAAGTAATATTTTTATATTATCAAATATTTATTTCTAGTTTAATATTTATAAAAAACAAAAATGCATATTTATTTTTTATATTAGATTTATTAATTTTATATACTGTATATATTGTATTCAAATATTCAAAATTTTTTCTTATTTAATTAAACTATATAAATATAAAATCTTCAATTTTTTTAATAATTATAAATTGAAAACAAATTAAAATAAAAAAAGCTATATAAGAAAAGATTTTTAGTTTAACTTTAATTAAGGACTATAATTTTTTTTAATATATTAGACACTATTATACAATATATTAATTTAATAAAAAATTATAAAAAAATTATTAATATATAATAAATATATAATTATAGTTTTAAATCAATACTAAAATAATATTGACTTATAATAAATTTAATATATAGATTATAATCTATTATAATAAATTCAATATTAATTTAATATTAAAATAATATTATTAAAAATCTTTTTTTTTTTTACAAATAGATATTAAATACAAGATATTTATTAAACTTTTGTTTTTATGTTATTATATTAATGATCTCTAAATACAAAATAGATAAATTAATTCTAATCTATTGTAAAATAAAATTAATATATACGAATTTTTGAAAACTCAAATAAGAGAAAAAGAAAAAAGGTAAAAAATAGCTAGCTACTAGTTATATTACTGTATAAACTCTACATATATGCTTCATAAGTGGTAATAGTAAGAAGTAGTATAATGCTTAGGTTTTAAATTGTAGCCTTAACTATACATATGTTTGTATTTAATTCAGACATTTTTTAAAAACCATATTATGTTCATATTACTAAATAACAATTAGTAAATAATTGGAAATTGTATTTAATTTGGAATCATGTTATCGATCAAATTTTCTTTTATGATAATAAAGAAACATGTATAGCCTGAACCTATATAACTATATAGTTAAAAAAAATGGGATTAAAAATTAATAATCTTATTTATATTGGTGATTCAGATATCAATATAATATAATTAACTTATACTAATCTTTTGATAAAAGTAAGCTGCTTATGATTTTTTATTACAAAAAATTTGGGATCTAGATAAGACAAGAAGATAATTCTGTGATTATTCTTCTTAAATAGTACATAAAATAGTAATATTGTTAGATATTCAAAATAAAGTTTGTCTTAAACAAAACAAATCCTTATATGATTAATATTGTCAATCAAATTTTTTTCTTTTATAATCACTTCTTATATTTAATTGACTTTATATATAGTTATTGATTATAGAAAGATATATCTAGAACTTTTAAACTCATAAGATCAACAGCTCTCTTATAATTCAAACTATACATGTTTTTTTATTTTATTATTATTTTTTTTTAAATGGATGGTTTATACCTTTATTCAAATTATATTGAAATATACATTAATTTCCTTGTCAATACTCGATGCATCTAGAGGTAACTAACTTAA